GCAAGGGGGAAACTCGTGGTCAGCCAGTGCAAAGGATAAAGACTTGAATAGGTGGTTCACAGGGAGACTCCTTGGACAGGTAGTGCAGCGGGGGAACCCTCGGACAGCGGTGCAAAAGGGGAACCCTCGGACAGCCAGTTCAAAGGCGGAATTCTTGGAGGGGTCATGCAATGGGGAAACTCTTGGACAGGCTGCACAAATGGGAAGCCCTTGGATAGGTGGTTGAAGGGAGGGCCCCTTGGATGGGTAGTGCAACGGGAAAACCCTTGGCCAGGCGGTGCAGAGGGAAAACCCTTGGACATGCGGTGCAGAGGGAAAACCCTTGGCCAGGCGGTGCAGAGGGAAAACCCTTGGCCAGGCGGTGCAAAGGGGAAACCCTTGGCCAGGCGGTGCAAAGGAGGAACCTTTGGAGAGAGGGTGTCCCTAGACAGGAGGGGTGCTGGAAAGAGGGGGAGGATCGCACCTGTGTATGTTCATCTCCCGGGGCGGGCGCCGCGCCTTGTCGTAGGCCACCTTGGCGAAGACGCCGGCGATGAGCACGAAGGCGATGGCCCCGCACGAGATGTAGACGGTGGCGTTGGTGCTGTCCTTGTCCGGGTCGTACTTGTTGGCGTCCCCGTCGGCGCCGTTGCTGCCGTCGGCGGGCAGCGCGCCGCTGGCGGTCGTGGGGTGGGCCCACTCGGGGCTCTTGTAGTTGCGGCACAGGCTCTGGTTGAGCTTCTCGGCGCGCTTGTTGCAGCAGAAGCGGTAGAAGCAGGTGCCGCAGCAGTAGCGGAAGCCCGTAAGGCTGTTGTTGCACTCGAACTCCTTGTCCCACTGCCCGCTCACGTCGTAGTACCCCCAGCACGTCTCGTGGGCCGGGGCCGAGCCCCCGCCGCCGCCCCCGCCTGCCCGGGAGGCCTCGGGCTGAGCGGTCTGGCTCCCGGCGGCGTGCGTGGGAAGGGTCCCTAGAGGGGTGTGCGGGGGCGTGGTCCCCACTGGTGCGAGGTGCGTGGGGTCACGGTCCCTACAGAGGTGGGCAGGGGTATGGTCCCTACAGGGCTGTGCGGTGTAGGGTCCCTCCACCTGTCCCTGGGGATGTGGTCCCACCGGGTCAGCTGTCTTTACAGTCCCTATAGCGGTGCATGGGACCACGGTGCCTACAGGGACACGCAGGGGCTATGGCGGCTATAGATTTGCAGTCTGTGTGGTCCCTAATAGTGTGTGCACTGGCTATTGTTCCTGTACGTGTGCATGAGTTCATGGATCGATGTGTGCAGGGAATGTGGCCCCTGTGGATGTTTGAGGGCTACATCGACCCTGTTGGTGCGTGTGAGTGTTAGGGACCCTCTGAACATACGCAGTGACATGCTCGCCATCACAGTGTGTGCAGGAGGTATGATCCTTATGGATGTGTATGAGCAGGCCCTATAAATGTGCGCAAGTTGTTTGGGTCGGGGGCCCTAGAGACACATGTGGGCTCCCGGGGTTAAAGGAGCCTGGGTGTCCAAACAGCTCTGCTCCAGGCAGCTCAGGAGCAGAGCTCCTTTGCCTCTCTAGGAGGTTCCTGTCCCCGCACAGTGCCTGCAGCACAACCTGGTGCTGGGCAGATGTTGGCCCCAGGGCTGTCAGGCCACGCTGCCCACCAGGCCCGTGCTGTCCCCGCTGCCCTGCCACCCCCTGCACAGGGACACACCTCCCAAGCTGCACAGGGACTGCTACACCAGCCTGGGGCTGTTGGCACCTGCCTAGGAAGGTGGACTGGGTCCAGCTGAGTCCCAGTTCCCTGCTGCAAGGGCTCAGCTATTGCACTCAGGGTGGAGAAGAAGCCATCCCCCAACCCAACTTGTCTGATACACTCCCCGCTTCCTGCAGGTGCAGAAGGTTTCACTGCTGTGAGCCGCTGGGCCCCCATGCTAGAATTTCCTCAAAGTCCTGGTGCTTCCCCCGTGTCCCATTGCAAACTAAACTAAAGCCTTTACAAATATTTCCTGAAGACATACAAGACATTGCCAGCTGTAAGGACACACAGAGGACAGAGACAAATCACAGCAAAGAAGAGCACATGAAGACAGGAACTGAAGTGATGCCCTGTAGCTGTAGGCAAGCAGTTTTCAGGAGTGGGGAGCATGGTGTAGGGGGAAGAGAGCAGTGGAGAGAAAGTGGAAACCACCCCTGAAAATCCCCTCCCCTGTACCTCGAATCCTGTGAATCATTTCCTCAAGCTACCCAGGTTTGAAAGCCCACAGCTCTTGGCTGGGGCCATTTTATAACTCTCTTAGGAGACCCCACGGACCATAAGGTTGGCAAAGAAAGCTTTAGCTCTGCCATTTAAAGCTGCTCCGATGCTGGGGGACACCTGGGGAAATCAGACAATAGCTTCATTCCTCAAGAAGACCCACCTGGCAGTACTAGGAGTACTGTGTTTAAGGGATGTGCTCAGGTCTCACTGGTAGATCAACACCATGGGGTCCCCAGACCTCAGTAGTACCTGACCCCAAACTCGGAAGCAAGGCAGAAGGAGACAGCCTAAGACCGGTGTGGCATGTGACCACCCAGATGGGAGTTTGAGCTGCCTTTAATGCACGTTCTGTTCTGAACCCTGAATACTGTGAGCCCGGCTGATCTGTCCTTCCTTTGGGGATTATGCTCCCATTACAGGTGTCCTCCAAAACCTTACATCAAAGATTGTAAAGCAGATTTGGCTGATGTTGGGAGGCCATCTCCAAACATTGTGGCCCTTCCAGCTCCCCAGCATGGCTTTATCAAAATCGCCCTGGCAAGCATCTTCAGCCCTGAGCTGCCTTGAAACTCTGTCCCTACTTCTCCAAGGTAGGTGCTTTGCAAAGTGTAGGAGGCAACAGGATGTAATAGTCTGCATCTTCCCCTCATCTGGTTGTTCCCTGCACACTTATACAGGAACTGAGGTCTCTGCAGAGGCACTGCTTTGGGGAGGGGAGGTATCACTCTAGAGAAAGCCCAGCATCCTCTCCCATGTGGACAAGGCTGCCTGGTGAAGGCAATCCTCAGGGACAAGATCCGTAGTTCTTGAGACATAAAACTATTAATGCTCTTCTGTCCTTATGCCAAATGTTACAAGGGCACAGAAAATGTCTAGCAAAACCATATCTCCCTGGAGAACAGTGCTAAGTGCTAAGTGTTCTGCCCCACAGAATATTTGGGGTCTGAGACTTGTCTTTTTTTAGTGTGTCTAGTGTGTCTAGAACAGGCTCCAGCACTGGCTGAGAATTGGACTCCACGTGCTCCTGCGAAACCGCTATGGCTGAATCAGACCAAGGTAATGATGAAACATCCAGATGCCTCTGCCTCCTCCTGCTCAATTTATCAACACCAATAAGCATGCTAAAGAAGGACAAAGTCTCCATGGATCTCCTGTATAATCCCATTGCCTTGCCCAGAGCCAAAATAATGGGATGGAAAGAGCTAAAGCAAATGTGGAAAAAAGGAAACAGTCCCCAAGGAGCAGTGTCAGGTTCCTGGGACTTTTCTGAGGCTTGCAGCTGCGCTGCTGGCTGCAGAAGGAAAGGACAAGGGCCGAGACGCTTGCGGGAGAAAATTACTCTGCTCCACACCTAACCATACTTGGGAAAGATCACTCTGATGACAGCTCCACTCCCTAACTTCATCCCCACCTGGAAGTCACTACAAAATCTCTAGCACTTTCTCTTTTATCTCAGGTCCCATCCTCCCCAGGTTGTTTTTATCAGCATGCCTGTTTCAGAGCTGTTTTCTTGTTTATCTTCTTTGCCCGGTGCTTTCATCTCTCTCCTGGAAATGCCGCGGCTGCTGGCAGTGAAGGGAAGTGCAGGTTCAGTAACTTCTCTTTAATCTAATTGGTACACAGAATCATTCACCTTTAGCCCGTTTTCCCTGCCACCACTCGTCGGACTCTGATGACTTTGTGAGGAGTTTGTAATGAGTCTGATGTGCTCAAAAGCTGATTCTTCCTCGTCAAGGGATTAAATTGTGACCGTGAATCTTTATTAAAATGAGCTCAGCACTTTGGACCTAATTTTTCTTCTAAAATTAATGTAGCTACAAAAAGCTAATAATAGGAGTTTTGGGGATTATTTCTATGAAGCTGAATTCTTTCTTGCTTGACTACATATGAGCTTGCTTTATGAATGTAGTGAAGGTACAGAGTGGATCCTGATTTTGTTATAAGCAGAAGGCTGCTTACTCCCAGATACAAGACAGACAGTGAATGGAAAGCAGACAGGGAAATGTGAGGGCAACAAATGCAGTGACAACAGACGCTGAGGTGGCTGGGATCTCACACACAGCAATATGGGCAGTGCCAGATGTGATCAGCTTCTTGTGCAGTTTCCTGAGCAGCTGCTTCAAAGGAAGGGAGAAGAAACTAGCTCAGAAAAGGGATATTGCATCAGCTTTTCCTGGTTGGTTTATTCTCTGGTGCCTGAGAGAATTCTGTGGTTTATATGGTTTTGTATAGTTGGAGGAACTGTGATTATCTTTACCCATGGGGACATCTTGTTTCTCTCTCGTTCTTCCTATCCATCCAGCTACTGTGGCAGTGAATGTCACAGGCTCATGATGTCCTACAGCAGTGACGTATATGCCTGTCTTTGGGGCATTCTCAGCACTTAAGCCTCTGTTTTCTCTCTCAGTAAGGGGAGGAGGGGGAGGAGACTGCCAGGCTGTTGACAGATGTGTACGCAGTTTTCCAGACAACTTACCCACCTACGCAACTTGGGGGATCAAGATGCTGCTGCTGCCTGCAGCAATGTCAGCAGCAGGAGGTGCCACTAGACCGGACAGCCAAGCACTCCTGGGAGAAGTTCAGGGAGTTCACTGACGTCTCACCAGTGAGAACTTTGGCTAGGCAGTTCATCAATGCACTCACTTGAAATGTCCATATGGGCCATCTGTAAACAGAAGACAAAGAAACTTCTCCAGCAAATGATTGATTCCTCATTATTTATCCAGGCCTGCTTACAGAGAAGGCTTCAGAAAGTACTTTTACCACTGCACCTCTGCAAACCCCAGGGTCCTGTGGTCAGGTGGATGGACATAGGCTAAATGTCTTCTCCTGGTCGAATAAGCTCTGACACAAAACTGACCAGCCAGACCCACAAAGTTTCTCTGATAATGTTCTGTGTGTGTAGGGGGCAGTGCTGATGCTTGCACAGCTCACACATTTGTTTTCTGCTGCTTTTCCTTTTCCTCCTGGTTTGAACTCCTCTAAAATACACTTACACAGCAAACACTGCTGTGGGGTGTACCAGAGGTATTTTTCTCCTTCCTCTGTGCATGGAAGAAGATCTGCATGCAGAAAGCCACTCTTGGGTCCTTTCTTAACTGATAGACTTGCTTCACTCAAAAAGAATTTACCTGGTAGTGTCTCTGCACTTGTGAAATCTTGTGATGCTTTCTTGATAGTTAACAGAAAATCCAGCACAAGGCAAACCCTCCAACTATTCACTGCAATATGTGGCATCCCCTGGGGAACCAGGCAGAGAGAAGGGAATACAGAAACCTCAGCACAGGCTTCTTCTCCTTTACTGGTATCTACTGTGCAACGGTTCCTCCAGGCCTGCCCACCAGTTTGAGAAAGACATTTTAAACTGCTTTGGCTTTCTACCTTTGTTGCTGCAAATTGGGATGTTGCTACAGGCTGGGACTTTCACAGTCTGTGAAGGGCAATATGCTGGTTAAGAGTAGCATATCACTGATGCGGGCATCTTGCCCCCATATTGAATATTGGTGGTTAGTTTCCTTTATCTTGCTCTATGTGTACAGAAGGGAAACCAGTGAGAGCTATTCTTTTCCATACCATTACTGTCACTGTTGTTATTTCCATTACAATTATGGCACCAACCTGTCTCACTAACACAAGGGCAGACTTCTCCTTCTCTTCCCAGCACCTAGCCAGGCACTGCTCCATCAGTGCCCAACAGATCTGACTTTCCATGGAATTTGGCAAACCCAGCAGTCACTCTTCCATTCAGATTGTCCTACAGCTCAAGGCACTTCATCACCAAGCAG